GAGCTACCCACATGGCGCAGCAGACCCTTCCTGAATCGCCCGCTGCTCCCCTCAGCACTGTACTTTAGTCAGTCTGCCTGTTCTGCTCCCTATTCTGTCTCTGGTGAATCCTCTCACCACCCTCTGGCCTGTACCCCAGTTCTTGTATGCAAAAACTTTATCAAAAAGGTGATCCCTTTTATGATAAAGACCCTCAAATAATTTGCACAGAGCAAACAAACTTCAACATACTACAGACTATATTTGACAAACCCACAGCAACTGTCATACTCAGTGCTGAAAAGTGGAAAAGATCAGGAATAAAACAGTATGTCCACTCTCAACACTATGACTGAACATAGTGCTGAATGTCCTAGTTGCTGGAAATTCAACACACAGCCAATAAAAAACAAAGAAAATAAGAGAGATCCAAACTGGAAAGGAAAAGTAAAACTATCAATTTTTAGATAACATGACAATATACAGAGAAAATTCCAAAGACGCCAGTAAAAAGTTCTTAGAAATGATAGGTGGATACATTAGAGTGACAGGCTCCAAATTCATTCAAACAGAAGTTTGTTGCATTTCTGTGGACAATGAACAAACTAGAACGAAGAAAAATCACGGGAAAATAATCCCATTACAATCAAAATGAATTAAATACCAAGGAATTGAAAATCCTGTACAAGATACTGTTGAAACAAACAGAAGACACAGGGGCCTCCCTGGTGGCGCAAGGGGTTAAGACACAACCTATGAAGCTGTCCGCAGCCTCTGCAGCGCCGGTTCGATCCCGGCAGGCCAGCGAGGGTCCCTCATGGCACAGCGGACCTCTCCTGTCATGCCCGCTGCTCCCCTCAGCACTGTTTTCACTCCATCTGCCTGTTCTGCTCCCCACTCTGTCTCTGGGGAGTCCTCTCACCCCCCCACACACCTCTGGCCTGTACCCCGGTTCTTACATGCATACATAAATAAATCTTTAAAAAAAATGATTTGAATTGTGTTGAATTTCTGAAGACACAAAGAAATGTAAATGTATTCTATGCTATGGACGGTTAACAGTGCAAAGATGAATACATCATCTTAAGCAATATACGCTCAATGCATTCCCTGTCAAAATCCCTCAGAATATTACATTTAGAACTACAAAAGAGCCTGAAGAGCCTAAACAATCCTGAAAAAAACAACATAATGAATGTACGGTGTACCTCGACTATACTACAAACTGACAACGACGAATTTATAAAAGAGCCAGGAGCAGCAAGTTGAATCTCTTCAGTAAAGGGTGTCAGAAGATGAATGATGAAGGGAAAACACACGGACAACAATACAAAGAATAAAACTAGGCCACAATCTATAAATAGAAATTAATTCCAGGGCCTCCCCGGCGGCTCAGCGGTTGAGCGCTGGGTTGCGAAGCTGCCCGCAGCCTCTGCAGCGCCGGTTCGATCCCCGGCTGCTCCCCGGCTGCTCCCCGGCTGCTCCCCGGCTGCTCCCCGGCTACTGGAGGAGGGTCCCACATGGCGTGCAGACCCCTCCTGCCTCCCGCTGCTCCCCTCAGCAGTGTACTTTGGTCCTTCTGCCTGCTCTGCTCCCCGCTCTGGCTCTGGTGAATTCTCTCACCCTCCCACGCTTCTGACTATACCCAGTGCTTGCATAAATAAAATAAATAAATCTTTAAAAAAAAAAAAAATAGAAATTAATTCCAAACAGATTAAAGACTTGAATCGAGTCCTGACACCATCAGAGACACAGGAGAGGGGGCAGGTGACACACTCCTGGGCATCCACGGCCTTAGATATGTCTTTGGAAATTCAACTCCAACAGCAAGGAAGGAAAAGAAAAACGACACATGACGGATAGGACTGCATCCAGCCAAACCACTTCTGCACAGGGGGGAAAACAACCATCATTAAAACAGAACAGACATCCAAGTGAGTGGGAGAAGAAACCTGCAGATCACACACAGTGGTGAGGTTCACATGGAGCCACCGAAGACTACGAATGGCCAAAAGAATTATGGCAAAAAGAAGAAGAACGTCAGCATCACACTCCCAGGCTATAAACATACTACAAAGCTACAATAATCAAAAACAGTTTGCTACTGGGATAAAGAGGCACACGACCTTTCAGAACTGAAAGCCCCGAAGTAAAGTCACACCTATATCATAAATGACAAAGGAGCAGGCAGCAGCAGACACTGGAGAAAAGAAAGGCATTCTACTGATCATAGAAACACCAAGACATCCTGCAAACAGGAGAAAATACTTGCGCACCATACAGCCGATAAGGGGCTGATATCCAAGATCTAAAAGAGCTCCTTCGATCTACGGAAACAAAACAAATAACCAAATGAAAGAATAGGTAGAAAAGCTAAATAGAAGCTTTTCTTCAAAGACACACGTGTGGACAATAGGCACATGAAAAAATAAACAAATGTTCAACACCATCTCTCATCAGGATGTGCAAATCAAAACCACAGTGAGGGCCTCCCTGGTTGAGCACAGCACTGAGAAGCTGTCCGCAGCCTCCGCGGCATGAGTGCGATCCCCAGCCAGGGAGCTGATCCACACGGCGCAGCAGACCCCTCCTGTCTCCCCGCTGCTCCCCTCAGCAGTGTGCTTCAGTCCTTCTGCCTGTTCTGCTCCCCGCTCTGTCTCTGGTGAATCCTCTCACCCCTGTACCTCTGGCCTGCACCCCAGTTCTTGTATGCATAAATAAATAAATGTTCAAAAAAAAAAAACCACAATGAGACACCACCTTACTCAGTGAGAATGGCCCAAATCAAAAAAACTAAAAAACAAAAAACAAATGATGGCAAGGATACGGAGAAAAAGTAGCTGTTGTGCACTACTGGGAATGTCCCGATGGACAACCTCCCCATGGAGGTTCTCAAAATATTAAAAGCAGATCAATGACACCATCCAGCAAGTCCACTCCACTCTACCCAAATCATAGAAAAACACGACTGTGAAGGGACATATACAGGGCGGTGCCCACCGCAGCACTACTTGTAAGAGCCAAGTGACGGAAACAACTCAATGCCGGGGACAGCTGAGTGCAGAAGAGCTGCGGGACACATAAACAAGGCAATACTCCTCGGAGGTAGAAAGGACAAGTCTTGCCATTTGCAACTACAGGTGGTGCTGGAGAGGAAAATGCTAAGTCAACTAGGAAGGAGAAAGAACGCAGCCATGGTTTCTCTTACATGCCAACAGAAAACAAGGGTCAGACCGGAGCAAGCCAGGAGCAAAGCCTGCGAACCCGCGTGGAGGGAGGCTGCCGGGGCGGAGGAGGACGGTGAACCGAGTGTGGGGGGCCGCGCTGACTACGGAGGCGGCTGTGGACACCTTGGGTGTGGGCTGGTGTGTGGCGCACATCTGAGAGGCATAAACGGGGGCTTCTGAATCATACATGGCGCTGTCAACAACCCCCCAATAAAAACCCCAAACTCACAGAACTCAACAACGAAAAGCCCAACGACCCCAGCAGGCTCTGCCCAGGAGCAGACAGACGATGGCCAGCAGCCGTGGCTCTCACCACAGGGGGCTGAAAACCACAGCAGCGGTGAGTGCTCGCCTCAGGCCCGTAGAGGGGCCGCTCCACAGGAGCGGAGGGCGCCAGTGCTGGGACGAGGAGAAGGGATCCTTGCACGTGCCGTGGGAACGTACACTGGGCCATCGTCAGAAGCAGCAGAGAGAGTCCTCAAAATACCAAAGAGAAGATCCAGGAGATGCGGGTACGCCAGGCCAGGCCTCTTTTCCCGGGTGGCCACTCCATGAAGACACTAGGCCAAGGCGACGCGCCCCGCCCCACCCAGCGCTCCCCATGACTCTCACAAGAGCCAAGACCTGGAAATGTCCCCCCCCCCCCCCCCCCCCCGCCACTGACCGGGCAGGAGAAGACGGGAGGCGCAGGCACACGGGGCCAAAGGGGCACCAACAGGGTGGGCCTGCGGTCCCTGCACTTCGTGACTTCATGAGCCGAGTGGAGAAAGACAGCCAGGCCGTCTTCATGCCTGTGCTGACAGGACAGACACAACGCACCAACTGCATAAAGCAACAACGAGCTCTCAGATCGTGAGGGCGGGAAAATGGGCAAGATGAGTCAACCATGTGAAGGATGGAACTGACCCCTAGAGAGAAAAATGCTTCTAGCGATGGGACATCTCCAGGCCTATGAACTACTGTGACACAAGGCTACTTGACAAAAGCATCTGCGTCTCCGCCCGTCTACAGATGCGTCCACAGCGAGGTTGCCAGGTGATGAGGCCGTATGTCAGAATTTACCACTACAGGCTGCACAATGTTCCAAGTTCCTCTGAACCACTTTTTTATATAAGTGCATGACACAATAGGTACATAAATCAGACTATTTTATAGTCGTGTCATTCTGACAAACTGACATTTATTTCCTAACTGTAGTTTATAAGGGTTCTAATTGTAGTTTCTAAATGGAAACGTTAAAGTGCGATACACGATCATGCTTTCTAATGTTTAAGGAGGTGCTTTGTGCTCTGATGAAATGAACAACTTTGAATTTCTGAAGGGTCACATTTGAAACATCCATGAGATTGTGATTTATAAAATGTCCCGTTAGCCTCTGCTGTTCCTGGCATTTCTGATGCAAGTGCAGTATCTCCACCACTCCCCTCACTAATACCAGCGGGAGATAAAATGAGAACTTAACATAATGTCCTCAAAAACATGCAGATTGTCGCAGGTCCCAGAAATCTATGGCGAAACTGGGGTTCCAGGCAGGCTCTTAGCAGCTAAGGGAGGACCTTAGTTGACCCTCTGAGTGTGATGGAAGACCAAGGGAGAGGGAAGCAAAGCAAGCACAGATGAGCACGATAAGCAAAGGGCAGGGATGTCCCTCTGTGATGACAAAAGAAATAAACCTTGGCATCTCAAAGACCCTTCCCACTGAAGTGCACCTTCCCACACCACATTTTAAAGTCAACTCCCCTTTGAAATTTGGACCTGATCCCTGTGTCTCCTGCTTCACTCACTCCCACCTACCTGGGGGTGTGACCTTTCTCTTCACCTCCCAGGGCTCGTTCCTCTGCTCCAAAAAGACGACCAGGTCTGGCTTGGAGACAGTCAAACCTGTTCATCAGAAAAGGAAATGTGACTCTTGCTGGTCATTCTCCGATGTCTTTCAGTACTGTTGTCAATGGAGAAAAGACATTATAGAATATTCTAGAAAATGACTTTCCTCAATGAGTCCCTCAATAACCACCTTTCGATAACGTAGGAGACATTTTCAACATGCAGGTTCTGACCTCTACTTCCCAGGAATACTGAACCAAAAATTAGGGGTGGAAGATTGAAACATAAGATGTTAGCAACAGCATTCTGTATCACTGATTTTCTAGAGTTCCCACTCATCTAGAGTGAACAATGCAGATCACCTAAAGAAAAAAGAACGTTAAGGGCACAATGAAATCTTGTGATGATTTTCTTCTTACACGAAGAAATTCAAAATTATTTATTTTATTATTTTCTAATTTTATATATTTTCCACATCATTTTTCATTTTTGCACAATATGTGCATTTTCATCTTGGTTCTAGTCCCCACACAATTCCCACCCCCCTTGTTTTGATCCCACTCCCTCCTCCCCACCCAGTGTGTCTCTAGTTTATAGTTGCTTGTTGATTTTGATTTTTACTTTATTACACAAAATTATTTATTTTAAACAGTCATCTAAAATGAAGTCATGCGAAACAAAATCCCCAAGAGCATTCTACAAGGGATGAGATGAAAACTGGGGGTGGATGAGGAAATCTGGGGGGAAGCGGTCCTCACCCAAGGAGGTCAGGTGCCTGTGATTCTCTAGCATCACGTCCCGGTACAAGGCCCGCTGCCCCTGGTCCAGGCACGCCCACTCCTCCCGAGAGAATTCTATGGCCACGTCCCTGAAGGTCAACAATCCCTGGAAAGAAAAGAAAACAAAACATGTCCGCCAAGGGGCCGCTGTGGTGTTCATAACTTGAACCACTATGAAGAGAGAGAGTTAAGTAACCAATTCTGGGGCCTCCCCGGTGGCGCAGCGGTTGAGCACTAGGTTGGAAAGCTGCCCGCAGCCTCTGCAGCGCCGGTTCGATCCCCGGCTGCTCCCCGGCCACTGGGCAAGGGTCCCACATGGCGCGCAGTCCTCTCCTGCCGGCCGCTGCTCCCCTCAGCAGTGTACCTCGGTCCTTCTGCCTGCTCTGCTCCCCGCTCTGGCTCTGGTGAATTCTCTCACCCTCCCGCGCTTCCGACTGTACCCAGTGCTTGTATAAATAAATAATCTTTAAAAAATAGTAATAATAAAATAAAATCAAACTGACTATAGCTGCTGCCTTTTATTAAAAAAAAAAAGGCTTATTTATTTATGCATACAAGAGCTGGGGTGTAGGCCAGAGGTGTGGAGGGGTGGAAGGACTCACCAGAGACAGAACAGGCAAATTGCCTGAAATCCACTGCTGAGGGGAGCAGCGGGCGAGACAGGAGAGGTCTGCTGCACCCTGTGGGTTGTTCATTGGCCACCCGGGAATCAAGCTCATGCTGCAGAGGCTGCAGATGGCTTCACAGTTTGCATCCCAAGCCCCTGCGCCACCAGGGAGTCCCCTCCAGTAAGGTAATTTAAATGCATCAATATTCTCCAATATTTCCAAAACTCTCAGGAAACAGGATGACAGAGTATTCGTGAAACTACTATAATTTTATGGAAGAAAACACGTAACAAAGGCTTCAGAGGCGTGTGTTTGTGATGCTATTTCTACGTCACGGGTTTAGCTGTGTGAATTTCTCAGATGGGAAAGGCACGGCGAACGAGAAGAGAACGGATGGTGTCCATGTAAGCAGCGAGGTGGAGACCCTGCTAAAGTGCAGGTGCTGCTTCGGGGGCTCTGTCTGGGGTAGAGTATCATTCCTGGCAGGCTCCCTAGGATGCTGAGGACTCACTTTCAAGGCCACATTTTTAACTTGCAAAGCTGAAGAGAACAGGGAAGAAATCACGGAGCAGTGGGAACTCAACGCTTCATGACAAATGTACATCCTAGAACATCAGCAAGGGTGGCCACAGGCGCACTTTTAGCATTTACTACATTTTCTAGATATTGTACATTTTGGAAATTAATGCAAAACAAATTAGAGAAAAATACACTGTTCTTCCTCATTTCCACAATAAACTAAATTAAAAATCCTCTGAACTAGAGAGACTGGGCTTTAACCCAGTTTATCTGATTTATAAGTTATGTAAAGTGCATAGATCAATTTTTAAGGCAACCTAAAAGAATGTACAGCTCAGGTTTCTTAAATGATTGATGGAAACAGACTACACAGCATCTAATACATTTTACATTTTATACGTTAAAAATTATACACATGTTGGGCCTCCCCAGTGGCGCAGCAGGTTGAGCACAGCGCTGTGAAGCTGTCCGCAGCCTCTGCAGCACGGGTTCGATTCCCGGCCAGTCAGGAAGATGCCAACATGGCGAGCAGACCTTTCCTGTCTCGCCCACTGCTCCCACAGCAGTGTATTTCATCAGTCTGTTCCCCGCTCTGTCTCTGGTGAGTCCTCTCACCCTCCTGAGCATCTGGCCTGTACCCCACCTCTTGTGTGCATTAATAAATTTTTTTAAAAAAAATTACACACGTTAAAACGAAAAGAGCAGGATATTTTCACTGTCATTGGAATTAGGAAATATTTCAGGTGCATAAATCATAAATACATGTATGGATGATACCTTTTTGGTCACACATGCTATGCAAAAAAACATAAAAAATAGTAATAACTAAAATAAGTTCTTGTATATGAGTCTTGCATTTCCTTAAAACTTTGATTCATATATAAAAGGCACTGAGTTATATTTCTGAACTTTAAGACACTAGAATGCACATATAATTCATGTTATCCTTTGTACAAATTACAAAGTCATAAAGAAGACAAAGTCTGAGATGACCTGGAATGAGATAAAAGTGACACAACCCAGGTCCCATGGACTCAGAACCTCCATCTGCAAAAGCCAACACCTCCAGAGGTGTGGGGGGGTGACAGGATTCACCAGAGATAGGCCTGTACCCCAGTTCTTGTATGCATAAATAAATAAATCTTTAAAAAAAAAAAAAAAAAAGCCAACACCTCCAGGGAACAAAGGCGAGAAGCTCATTTTCCAAAACAAACACTAAGCAATGATGAGCTCAGAACAAGGGAACTGCCACAAGAAACGCGATGGGTATGTGGGACACCCGGCTAAACCCCCACAATCACTGCTAAGGAACAGGAAAAATATTCAGATTATAGGAGAGGAACCTGGGAGAAAGCACTTTAACCACATGCACAAAGGCAAGGTCAGCTTTCACACGCAGGTTGGTACAGGTGCCCAGGGAGAGAGTGCTGTTTGCAACACAAAGGTAAATCATAATATGAATTAATCACGAATCAACAATAAACTTATATAAATTTCAGACCATATACAGCTCCCACATATAAAGAAAACTTTGGTGTATTTCAGTTTAATATTTTACTTATTTTTGCAAAGAACTGGGGTACAGACCAGAGGTGTGGGGGATTGAAAGGAGTCACCAGAGACAGAGTGGGGAGCAGAACAGGCGGATCCACTGAGATACACAGCTGAGGGGAGCAGCAGGGAGAGAGGAGGGGTCTGCTGCACCCTGTGGGTAGCTCCCTGGCTGGGGATCGAACTCAGGCCGCAGTGGTGACAACCAGAGACTCAGCCCCTGGCTTTAACATAAAGCCCCCTCTTTAACATATACTTTGGTATCTGTTACACAGTCTTTCTGTAGCATCCTAGTGAGCGAGGCACTCCTTCCTCTCCACAACATTCTGGATTATGTCATTGTTTACTTGTTTTCTTACGCTTTACAATTATTCTTCACTGACACCCAAGGAGTGACACCTCCAGGTGACAGGAATCTTGCCTAAAACGCCTTCCCAGGCTGACTGCTCATAAAGAAAGGAGTTTCAGGGCCTCCCTGGTGGTGCAGCGGTTGAGCGCCACGCTATCAAGCTGCCCGCAGCCTCTGCAGCGCTGGTTCGGTCCCCGGCCACCAGCGTGGTCCCACATGGCGCGCAGACCTCTCCTGCCACGCCCGCTGCTCCCCTCAGCAGTGTATTTCATCAGTCTGCCTGTTCTGTTCCCCGCTCTGGCTCTGGTGAACTCTCTCACCCTCCTGCGCTTCGCTTCTGACTGTACCCAGTGCTTGTATAAATAAATAAATATATCTTTAAAAAAAAAAAAAAAAACAAAGGAGCTTCAGGCCGCGGGCCACGAGTTCCGGTGGGAATGCTCACGTGAGTAAGCCAGGACGGAAGGGAGGGAAGCTCTGGGACACGGGAAGAGGTGTGCAAAGCAGCACACCCGGACCATCATGAGAAGAGGAGGACAATTAATTTAAAACAAACCTGTACGGAGAGCGGCAGGAAGACAAAGGCAGGTGCCAGGGTCTCCGGTGCGTGTCAGAGGACACAGCCCTGACACGACACTTACCCGAGAAGCTGCCATCCCGCCTCTTCCTTCTCCGGTTCCTTTCCCCGGGCACAGTGCAGAGGTCACACCTGCAGCAGAGAACAGTCCTTTAAGCACCCCCAGAGACTCTTCACCTGCTCCCATCACAGCCACAGGTAGAGGGACCTGGGACGCCGAAAATGACCCCTCTCCTCGCCTCTGTCAGACTCAGGCACAAGCAGCTCCGACATGGAGACCTATGGGTGACTCCCCCTTGCCTGTCTTCGGGGGCCTCACCCCACAGATGCCCCAAATCACAGGTGCTATAGATGCCAAGGACCCGGTGGTTCGGGAGCATCACAGCAGCATGCATGGTCCTTCAGAACAAAAGCCCGGCAGGCCCCATCCCTGGCCACACCCCTGCTGGCTGGGTGCCCACCCTGTCCTGGGGCCGTCATTTCATTCCTCCATCAGTTCTCAACCCCCTCCACCCCCTCCACAGCAGCACCTGCCCCCGGTTTTCAGTTGTAGTCCGCAGACCAGGGATGTAGCCTCTGCCCCTCAACCCACGCCAGCACCCGCCATCAGCATGCTGCCCGAGCTCCCCGGGGGGCGCAACTCCACACTGGCCAGGCGCGGGCAGCTCTCCCCCCAGGGCCATCCCGCACACACGGCTGCAGAGGTGCCTGGGCGTCGGGGGCCCCGGGGGCCAGTCTGGACCAGACAGGCACCCGCTGCCCAGAGCAGAGCAGACTCGCCACAGGGCCAGGCGGGCAGCATCTACAAGGGCGACCCAGCCCTGACCTCACCCCCAACCCCCTCCGTCAGCCGCGCTGCCCAGGCCCCACTCGGCTCCAGGCAAAGGCCAACCAGACAGCTGCGAGGGCAGGTGAGAAAGCAGGGGGTGCCGGGTCACCGCTACCCTGACCCGATGAGGCGTGTCACCGGGCAAGAAAACTCGCTGACCTGCGGGGAAACAACCCCCCGCCCCAGCTTCCCTCTGCAGCAGGCAGGCTTCTTCCCCAGCTCCGGTCCACGGCTCCTGCGCCCTGCCGCTCCAGGGAGCCCTGTGCGAGCTGCGGGACCGGGTGAATGACCCAGCTGGCCTGAGGCTGCTGGAGACCAAGCAAGGCCGCAGTAGCCACGACTCTGGAAGCCACCGTGAGGGCGAGGCGGCTAAGGACGCGGAGTCACCGGGGCAGACCCGGTCACACAGGGCCACCCCCGAGAGCAGCAGACGCCAGGGGTGCGGCTGCCACGGCGCAGGCCCCCAGCAACATCGCCAACTCGCACAGGCGGGCCCCCGGAGGACCTGCCTCTGCTGTGATCCCCTGGGAAGGAGCATGACCCCCAAGAGCAGCGACGAGCGGCTCCAACAGAGTCAGCCGCACGGGAGCTACAGGAAGCGCCGGGGTGAGGAGGTCGACACACCGGGGGCTCAGGTCAGACTGTCCAATCCCCGAACACGCAGGATGTGGAGCGAGAGGGGCAGCAGGGGTGCGCCAGGGGTGCGGCAGCGCAGGGCCCGGGCTAGGACTGGACGGCGCGTCCTCGGAGGCGGCGTTTGCTCGCGGGGTGGGGGGGGGGGGGAACGCGGGGCAGGGCCAGACCCCCCGCAGGGCGCCCCCCCCCCCAGCAGCCCCGAGCGCCCAGTGCTGAGCACTGTCCAGCGTGCGCGGGCGCCCGCCAAGGGGCGAGGGCTGCGGCCAGGCCACCGCGCCACGACGCGGGAGCGGCTGTGACGGGCACCGGCGCTCTGGACGGCGCAGCACCTGCGCGTGGTGGCCTCGCCGCGGGGAGCGCGCGCCCGGCCTCGGGCTCTGAGCACCGATCGCCTCCGTCCCCACACCCGGCCGCGCGGCGGCGGCTGGGGCGCGTGGGGGGCGCCCGCGAGGCCACGGGCGGCGGCGGCCGGGGAGAGCGCGGCCGGGCGGGGCGGGGAGGCTCCGACCAGAGGCGCGTCCAGCCCCGCCGGGGCCCAGCGCCGCGACCCGACCCAGCCACGAGCCCGGCGGAGGCCGAGCCACCCCGCGCGCCGGGGCCAACCCCAGAGCGGAGCGGGGCGGCGCGGGCGACGCCGCAGACCCTTCTCCGCGGGCGGGACCCCGGCGGCCAGCGGGGCTCCGAGGCAGCGCGCGGGACCCTCGCCTCGCGCCCCGGGCCGCGGAGCCCCGACAGCCGCGGGGGGGCCGGGCGCAGCGGGGGCCCCGCGGGTCCCGAACGGGCGCGCCCAGGGGTCGCCGGGCGCCGGCCACAGCGCGGACGCGAGCGAGGACGCGGGGGGCGCAGCCCGGGCCCGTCCCGCGGGGGGCTCGGCCGTCGCAGCCCCGCCCGCAACCCGACCCCGACCCCGACCCGCGGGGCGGCGGGACCCGGGGCCGCGCGGGGTGGGCCGGACGCCGAGGACAGGCGCCCGCGCCCGCGCCCCCGGCCACTCCCGGGCAGCGGCGCCGAGAGCTCGGCCCTGACGGCGCAAGGGCGCCTCCGCGGGCCGGCCCCCGCCCCGCACCCGCGCCCCGCCCCGCCCCGCGCCCGGCCCCCGCCCGGCTCCCCGGCAGGCGCGTCTCCCGCCGCCCGCGCCGCGGCTGCCCGGCCCCGCCCCCAGCCCGCCGGCCCCGCCCCCAGACCGCCGCTCGCGGTGCTGCGACCCGGCCCGGCCCGCGCCACGCTCTGAGGCGACCTGAGACGGAGGGACGCCCCGGCGGCCTGGGGCTACGGCGGGCGCAACCGACCCGAAGCCTACCGGCCGGCAGCCGATCTCCCCCGACCCGGGCCCGCGCCCTCTCGGGCTCCCGCGCTGGGCCCGCCGCGAGCCGCCCGCAGCCACACCAGCGGCCGCGCCGACGGGAAGCCGGAAGGCCCGCGCCGCCCGCCCCGCCCCGCCCCGCCCCGCCCCGCCCCTCGGGCTCCCGCTCGCCGCGCTCCGCCCGCCCGGCCCCGCCCATCGCCTCACTGCGCCCGCCCTTTCCGCGCCTCACGCGGCCCCGCCCCTCAGCGCCCCGCTCTCCTCACTCCGCACCGGACCGGCCCCGCCCATCGCCTCACTGCGCGCGCCCTTTCCGCGCCTCACTCCGCCCCGCCCCCAGCGCCCGCGGCCCCGCCCCTCAGCGCCCCGCTCTCCTCACTCCGCCCGCCCGGCCCCGCCCATAGCCTCACTGCGCGCGCCCTTTCCGCGCCACACTCCGCCCCGCCCCAGCGCCCGCGGCCCCGCCCCTCAGCGCCCCGCTCTCCTCACTCCGCCCGCCCGGCCCCGCCCATAGCCTCACTGCGCGCGCCCTTTCCGCGCCACACTCCGCTCCGCCCCCAGCGCCCGCGGCCCCGCCCCTCAGCGCCCCGCTCTCCTCACTCCGCCCGCCCGGCCCCGCCCATCTCCTCACTGCGCCCGCCCTTTCCGCGCCTCACTCCGCCCCGCCCCCAGCGCCCGCGGCCCCGCCCCTCAGCGCCCCGCTCTCCTCACTCCGCACCGGCCCGGCCCCGCCCATCGCCTCACTGCGCGCGCCCTTTCCGCGCCTCACTCCGCCCCGCCCCCAGCGCCCGCGGCCCCGCCCCTCAGCGCCCCGCTCTCCTCACTCCGCACCGGACCGGCCCCGCCCATCGCCTCACTGCGCGCGCCCTTTCCGCGCCTCACTCCGCCCCGCCCCCAGCGCCCGCGGCCCCGCCCCTCAGCGCCCCGCTCTCCTCACTCCGCCCGCCCGGCCCCGCCCATAGCCTCACTGCGCGCGCCCTTTCCGCGCCACACTCCGCCCCGCCCCCAGCGCCCGCGGCCCCGCCCCTCAGCGCCCCGCTCTCCTCACTCCGCCCGCCCGGCCCCGCCCATCTCCTCACTGCGCCCGCCCTTTCCGCGCCTCACTCCGCCCCGCCCCCAGCGCCCGCGGCCCCGCCCCTCAGCGCCCCGCTCTCCTCACTCCGCCCGCCCGGCCCCGCCCATCGCCTCACTGCGCGCGCCCTTTCCGCGCCACACTCCGCCCCGCCCCCAGCGCCCGCGGCCCCGCCCCTCAGCGCCCCGCTCTCCTCACTCCGCCCCCTCCGCGCCTCGCTCCGCCCCTCCCCGCCCCGCCCCTCTCCCCACCGCGCCCGGCCCCGCCCCGCCCCGCCCGTTGGCGCCTGCGCGCTGCAGCCCCGCGCTGAGCTCTCCGCGTGTACCCCGGCGCGGGCCCGCGGGAGGGGCGGGAGCGGGGGGGCCGCACCCTCGGGGCGGTCCCCCCTCCTCCCCCTGCGCCCCTGGGGCACCGCGCTTTGTGGGCGCGGACGAGGCGGGCGCTGGTGCCACGAGGCGCCGACTGCGTGCGTGCGCTCGGGGGTTGCCCCGGATCCGACCCACAGGCCGCGGGGACCCCCAAGGGCCCCACAAGCAGGGGACCCGGCCCCGACGGCCCCCAAGGGCCCCACAAGCAGGGGACCGGGCGTCCTTGGACCCCCAAGGGCCCCACAAGCAGGGGACCGGGCGTCCATGAACCCCCAAGGGCCCCACAAGCAGGAGACCAGGCCCCGACGGCCCCCAAGGGCCCCACAAGCAGGGGACCGGGCGTCCATGGACCCCCAAGGGTCCCACAAGCAGGGGACCCCGCCTCGACGGCCCCAAGGGCCCCACAAGCAGGGGACCGGGCGTCCATGGACCCCCAAGGGCCCCACAAGCAGGGGACCAGGCGTCCATGGACCCTCAAGGGCCCCACAAGCAGGGGACCCCACCTCGACGGCCCCCAAGGGCCCCACAAGCAGGGGACCAGGCGTCCATGGACCCTCAAGGGCCCCACAAGCAGGGGACCCCGCCTCGACGGCCCCCAAGGGCCCCACAAGCAGGGGACCAGGCGTCCATGGACCCTCAAGGGCTCCCACGACTGGGGCGGACCGGGGTTCGGGGCGGAGGGTGGCGAGGCAGCTTCCTGGGCAGCCCCGGGGGCCTGCGGTCTCGGAGGGAGAGCAGGGCCTGCGGTGAGCGCCGAGAAGCCCGCAGCACCTCGGTGGGGCCGCGCCGTGGGGCTGGGCTGGTGTGTCCTCCTGTCAGCAGCCGGGGTGGCAGGGGAGAGGGGTCCCGGCGCGGGAGGCCCCTCAGCTCGGGAGCCTGGGAGCCTGGACTGTCTGTGCACAAACCATGCTCCTCTCGGGGCTCGAATTCCTGGCATCCCCGTCCAGCAAGGCTGGACGTCCTCGGTGAGAGCAGCCAGCACAGCTGCGACGGGCACCCTGCCTGGCGCGAGGCTGACCCTGCGTCAAGGGCCCCGAACACCCAGCGGGCGCTGCCCCAGGCCTGGAAGGCATCTCTTGACGGTCTTTGGTGCCGGACTCGCCCTGGGCATAGGTGCTGACCGGGCCACATTCCTTCTCCAGCCCCTTGCCCTCCCCCACCGCCCGCTGAGGGGCCGCGCCCAGAGCGCTCAGAGCCCAGCACTGTCCTGCGGCTAGGGCACCCCCACCTCCCAGACAGCACCCGGGACACAGGGCCAGCCAGGGAGGCAACCACGGGGGCGGGAGTCATGGCTCCCGTGCCCCAAAACCCCCTTCCCAGGGCACAGCCCCAGGCCTGCGTTGTAGGGACGCACCCCACTGCGTCTCCAGGGGCGTCTCCTGCCCCTAGCCGGCTGGCCAGCCCTGAGCCCGCGAGTCCTCGGGTTGCTACAGTGGGAGATGCAGCCCAGGCCTGGTGCCTGTGCCCGGCACGGGTGACCTGCAGGGCGGGCAGGCCACAGGGGACTCATGGTCCAGGAGGGCCCAGGTTCTGGGAAGCCCCACGGTCCTGTCTGGGAGGCCCCAGGGTCCAGGAGGCCACACTGTCAGGGAGGCCCCAGGCGTGGGAGGCTCAGGGTCTCCGAGAAGCATCTCCATTTTTGCAAACATCGGCGGCTTATCCCGAGGGCCCATGGAAGGCCCAGGGGCCTCACTGAAGGGCCCCCCACAGCAGCCTCCTCAGAGGCGGCCCCGATGGCCCTGCCAGGGACTAAACACCCAGCTGGCAAGAGCCCCCCTCCCCAGCGCACCCCAAAGCTGAGGGCACCAACTTGCTGTGGGGTGGGTGCCAGGCGGTCCCTCCCATTTGGAGGACCAAGTCCCCCGTTCTTTTCCAGGCCCAGCCCCCGGGAGTGGGTGGATGTGGTGGCAGGAGGCTGCGGGCCGGCCGGCAGGCACTGCGGTGTGGACACGACATCGCCAGCTAAGGCGCAGAGCCGGCGCCCCACCTTCACCCTCACAGCCGGGGCAACCTCCAACAGAAAGCCTCTCTCCTCCCGGTGTTATACCTACCTGCCGGCCGGCCGCCCGCTGGGTGTGTAAATCCAGAACCTTCTCTCCAAAGCAAACAAAAGCT